GTCAATGTGTTTTTGCAATGCTCCTCGACCCCCCCCCGCCCACTGGAAATGGAGGGCAAACTGAAGCCTTCGGGTTGGCGCTGGGGTGGTTCGGTGGGTGGTGATGATCAGTCCTTGTTTCAACGACATGATTTCACAATGACTTTCATCATGTCTAGCTCAACGGCAAATTTTCTGGGCCTGCATTACGTGAACCACCACACCGCATTTGAATACAACCGTGTCGACGTTCACACAACGTTTATGCCATGGCTGCGGTTCTATTTACGATGTCCTTGGTACAGTCGTGCCTTCGCAAAATCAACGTGACTGAAACTAGCCGCGCCCTCTCTTGGCAATGGGCCACTGCCAGCGAGAGAGGGAGCGAGCCCAGGGCTGCTGGAATCTATTCGAGCTGCCATCCCATCTCCCCCCTTAGACGAACGTACGACGTGCATGACAGTCATGACAGATAGACAAGCCTGGAGCTGATGGGACAACCGTCCAGGCGTGCCACCTGTGAGCTCTCATACTCCTCTGAAGCGAACAACTCGGGGATGGACAAACCCCCCTTTAGTAAAACGTGGTTTGGTGAAAACGACCTGAGGCCCAAGCCTGGCGGGCGCAAGCCTGGAAAATAACGGCCACGGCGCCCTCTCGAGAGCCGAAAACGGACAATTCACTAATCGACGTGTCACTGTTGGGGGTTCTGTCCACCCCCGAAAAACCTTGGGCCTGGAGGGACCAAACGGGAAAAGCGGAGAACGGTTCCCATCACCCGAGCCACAGCACGGGTCTTGCCAATCAAGGCGCCGAGGCCATCCCGAGCCTCCTGTGGCTCCTGCACGTGCATCTGGCACGGCCTCTCTGCGGAGCGATCCGGCAAAACGTTAGCTCAGACAATCCTCCGCTCCTCAGGAGGGGAGCTGGTTGACCACCTCCATACTACGATGGGCTGTGATGATGATGGGCTGCAGGGCTGACGCATTTAGCCCACCCCTAGCTCCCCAAATCCGGACGGAGCCCAGCGTACTTCTTCCTGGAAAGCAACTGCTGAGAGGGCGTTGCGTTATCTAACCTTGCACGCCCGAGGCAATCAGAGTGAACGTTTGCAATCTATCGAACTGAGAACCTGATGCCTACAATCCCCATGTGCTCTGCAACCTGGGGCGTCTGGGGAAGGCTGGGCTCAACACCCCGCAACTGCGTGCCTCTCCCTCGACTGAAGAACGGATGACCGAACACGAAACCCACTCTTTTCACCTGCCCAAGCAGTACGCGCGAAGACTGGTCCTTGTCATCCCGGCCGTCCTTCCCGTCCTTCCCGTCCTTGCCATCCTTGTCTCTCTTGTGGCCATGACTGTGGCGTGCGGCGGTGGAACAGAGAAGCAATGTCGAATCACACGAGCGGGGCAATCTGGCAATTACGCACACACGCAGGTTATCCAGACAAAGGATTCGACGGACCTAAGCGAGAATGATACAAACACATGCTTTGCGGGAGACTTACTCACATTGTTCTGTCCTCATCCTCCTTCTGCTTTCCCGTGTCCTATCCCCTCGTCCTCATTTCCCCTCCTCCCCCCCCCCCCGCGATCACCTACTCACGACCAACGACGAAACAACCGCCTCTCAGAATGTGTCGAACAGGTCCAAGGGGCCACATCGCCAACAGAACGTGATGACGGATGTCCGTGGACGGCGAGGAGTGAAGGGGCCCCAGAACACACAAATAAATACACACAAATAAAAAGATCCCCCATATGTTTCCATATTTTCTGGGTTTTTGTCTTCCCCCCCACTTCCCATATTTTCCCATATGTTCTGGGAAAACGAGGATTATTTTTGTCTGTGTGTTTCTTTTCCTCCTGAAGGAGGAGCAGCAGGAGTAGATCCGAGACGGGCAAAGAGTGACCTGGCGGCGAGCGAAGGGGCGAAGTGAGAATGGCGGGCGACGATCGGGGGGGAACGCCTCGACCTGGAATCGGCGATACACCGCCGATAAATCGGCGATAGGCCCCCGACAGTGATAAAGGAGCCCCAGGACATACAAATAAATACACACAAATAAAAAGATCCCCGTATTTTCCCATATTTTCTGGGTTTCTGTCTTCCCCCCCACTTCCCATATTTTCCTATATTTTCCTGGGAGTCGACGATTAATTGTGTCTGTGTGTTTCTTTCCTTCCTGAAGTGATTCCGCACCTTCCTGGGCAGGTTGGGCGCCCATCGGACCCCTATCGAAGATCAATGGGCGATTGGGGGTCGATGCATCCCCCCCTATGCTTATCCCCCCCCGATCGTTGCCTCTGAGAGGACGAGAGGGCCTTCTCAAAGGCGGCGGGGATTCTCAGAAGCCCTCTGGCCTTCTGTAAACTTCCCTGCGTCTTCGGGGAAGGCCTGAGACACACCTCAGAAAGCCTGGGGACTTCCTAGCCTTCTGAGAAGGCCCATCCCCTCTCACTTCCCCCCCTGGCGCGCCGCCGAGAATGCGCTCCATGCGAAGAAGAGCTGGACGAATTCCGCGCGATCGTCGGCGCGTGGAACCTTGAGCGAAGGGAACGCGCTGCGCAGAGCGCTGGTCGCGCTCGGCAGCCAAGCGAACCACGCCCACTCTATCCAAAGCTCCCAAGACGGAGGAATAGGGACCCTCCCATTATCCTTTTTGACGTTGCCCCGACGTGAAGCGCAATCTTGTCGCGTTCTCTCACATCCTCCTCCTCCTCCCACTTTTCATCCTTCTCCTCTTCCTCCTCCTCTTCCTCTCTCTCCTCTTTGTCCTCCTCCTCCTGCTCCTCCTCCTCCTCCTCGGCCTCATCCTAGTGAGCAGGGCCGGCGACACAGGCAGTAAGACCTTCGCAACAACTGCGCGCGGGCAACGCGGCGGGAAATGGCAAACAACACGCGCGCTATCGGAAACCGCACATGTCCTCTTTTGGGAACCTGAGGAATGGCGCAAGCCTCTTGAATATATTCAAAATTCCGCCAACGCGCCCTAGATGGCTCAACACGGCTCAAGCATGGTTTCATATAACTCAAGGTGGCCTCCAAAATGGCACTTCACCCCCTCGCCCAACGCATCCTCCTTGAGGGACACCTGAAGACTGCTTCCAAGCTCCCCTGGACCCTTTCGGATGAGAGCATTTTTGGCCGACAGAGACGGAAGGTGGTGCTGCACCGATTCAGCAGGGACGGTAGGAGCGCATTGCTTGCGGAGACTGTCGGATGGCAAGGTGGCCCTCGTAAGACTCAGCCTGACTGGAACCGCGAGGCGGCCGACGTCTTTGTGTAAGCTGCGCCAGCGCCAGTAGGTGGTCAGTTTGGCTTGGACGTGGAGGGAGCCAGAAGGGGAGAGACGGTACGGGGCATTTTTTAATACGTGGGATTTTTTTTTTAAATATAGGTGGTTGAACACATTACTAGTCTATGAATAAATTAATGCATGAACTCATCGTTGTTTTCAATACTGAGCCCCTGCATTTTTGATACATGATCCGCACCCGGAGCATGGATCAAAAACGGCACTGTAAGCAGGATGGGGCACAGTCGTCGTGCTACCAGAAAAAACGCCGGAACAAATAACTATTCTATGAAACAAATAATGCATGAACTCATCGCTGTTTTTAGTACTGAACCCCTGCATTTTTGATACATGATCCGCACCCGGAGCATGTATTAAAAAACGGCACTGCAAGCAGGAGGGAGGGAGGGAGGTAGAGGAGGAAGAGGAGGCGAAAGAGGGAGGAGGAGGACGAGAAGGAGGACGAGGAGGAGGAAGAAGAGGAGGGAGGGAGGATGAGGAGGAGGAGGAGAGAAAGGGGGAGGTAGGGAGGGAGGGATGGAGGGACAGGGGGCACAGTCGTCGTGCTACCAGAAGGCACGCCAGAACAAAAGAGAACGAAGGGTCTTCCTGGCCACGGCGAGCCTCGGCCACGAAGAGGTCCCCCGACAGAGATCTACAGGGCAGTTTTTTTAATACATAAGATGAAAACATATCGGAGTTTTAATACAAGTTTAACTTATGAATACAATGGTGCATAAACTCGTCGCTGTTTTCAGTACTGAATCCCTGCATTTTTGATACATGATCCGCACGCGGAGCATGTACTAAAAACGGCACTGTAAGCAGGAGGGGCACAGTCGTCGTGCTACCAGAAGGAGCGCCGAAACAAAAGAGAACGAAGGGTGTTCCTGGCCACGGCGAGCCTCGGCCACGAAGAGGTCCCCCGACAGAGATCTACAGGGCAGTTTTTTTAATCCATAGGATGGTAAAAAACACATATCGGGTTTTTAATACAACTTTAAGTTATGAGTTTAAGTTTAAGTTTGAATACAACTTTAAGTGATGAAGTTAACTTTAAGTTATGTTTAAGTTATCTACAGGGCAGTTTCTAATACATAACCCCATGAAGCATTTAAGAACCCCCCCGGCGATATCGTAGCAGCGCATTTTTTATTCGATATTCCGAGGGGCCAAAATAACCGAACGATAGCTTTAGCACCCGGCCACACCATCATCAGCATCATCATCAGGTAACGCTTCCAGGGTGCGGAAGGGTTATCGATTTGCCGGAGGGGAGGGGGGGGGGTTCTTAAATGCTTCCTGGGGTTAGGATGTTAAAAACATATCGGAGTTTTAATACAACTTTAAAGTATGAATAAAAATGTGCATAACATCGTCGCTGTTTTTAGTACTGAATCCCTGCATTTTTTACCACATGACCCGCACGCGGAGCATGTATGAAACACGGCACGGTAAGGAACGGCCCGAAAATCAAAGCCCCCCTGGAGCCCACAGTGTTATTCATGTCAGCGTCTTGGCTGCAGGAGAGCAGCAGGTGGAGGTGAATCTGAGGGTTTGTCACATCGACGCCGAGGGAGAACCCTGAGGGTATCCCAGGAGGGGGGGGGCTCTGGGCGAACAATGACAAGCCTCTTGAAAAGGCAACTAGATTTGAACGTTGGGGGTCTGCCGTGGCCATCTTAAGCGCCCCTGGGAGCTTCTGGAGCATCCTTTTTTATATCAGAACGTGCAAGGGGTGCATCGGCCAGCGCTGATTCGACTCGTTCCCCTCTAGACAGGGGCGCATCTCTAGAGGCAATGGTCCCTTACGTTTCCGCAAGTCTATGTACATGGAGTAGGGGGGTGGGGAGAAGGAGCGATGCCCGACATGATAGCACTGCAGTCACCCAGGTCGAGACTCGCTTGCACACCTTTCTCGGGTCGGGCGAAAGCGGGGGATAGCAAAAAGGGGGGTTTGAGAATCAGCTCACGTAGCTGATTTTCCCGGCGCCTCCCGGCGCCGGGAGGCGCCCATGTATCGAGGAACGGGCCCCTCGGTGGGGCCGAAACCAGCTGCATGCAGCAGATTTCGTAACCCCCCCTTTCCCAAGCCCCCTCTTTCGTCCGGCCCGAGAGAGCACTGCAATCACCCATGAAAGCATTGCGCTCGCCATCGCTCGGACGTCCATCTCCCGTGCTTTCGTCGGTTCCGTGCGTTTTTTTTGTTGCTCGATGGTCCTCGATGGTCCTCGCCGAGAAACAAAATGCACACGTCCGAGTGATGCCAAGTTGCAGCCACCCAGGTCGAGGCTCGCGCGCACACCTTCCCTGCCCACACTGAAACCGAATGGACTGAGGAACGGGCCCCTCGGTCGGACCGAAACCAGCTGCATGCAGCAGATTTCGTAACCCCCCCTTTCCCAAGCCCCGCTTTTCGTCTGGCCCGAGAGAGCACTGCAGTCACCCATGAAAGCATTGCGCTCGCCATCGCTCGGACGCCCATTTCCCGTGCATGTTGTCGGTGTCGTGCGCTTTCTTTTGCTCGATGGTCCAGGGATGGTCCTCGATGGTCCTCGCCGAGAAACAAAATTCACACGTCCGAGCGATGCCAAGTTGCAGCACCCAGGTCGAGGGTCGATCGGCGCTGGACCCCCCTCCCTGGCGCGCGGAGCGCGCCAAAGGCGGCGCCGGAGGCGCCGCTGGGGGGCCCCAGCGCCGATCCGAGAAATCCGCGCGAACCTCCGAGTTGTTTTGTTTATGTGACTTTTTGTTCCCCTAACGGAGTAAGGGGGTGGGGAGAAGGAGCGCTGCCCGACGTGAAAGCGCTGCAGCCACCCAGGTCGAGACTCGCTCGCACACCCTTCCCTGCCCAGACTGACACCGCATTTGGCGCCGCCGGGCCCCATGGGCGCTCGCGCCGCTGCCGCCCACCCGAGGCCTGCAGGCCCACGTAGAGACTGAAGTGTTCATATAAGCATTAAGTCGGGCATGTCCCTCTACAAATAAGTCGGGCGTGTCCCCCTACAGGGGGATTTTCGACGAAACAAAAATACCAGAAAGAGTCAAAACATAGTCCAAACATCGTCTGGGGACTATTTTTGGAGTATTGAAAACATCTCTTTGGGGTATTTTAGGGTATTTTAATTTATGTTTCGTCGAAAAGCCCCTGTAGGGGGACACGCCCGACATAACTCTACAGAAGGAATCTTAAACAATAGTCACAACAATTGTGAAGGGGCCCCAGGACACACAAATAAATACACACAAATAAAAATATTCCCCATATTTTCCAATATTTTCTGGATTTCTGTCTTCCCCCCCACTTCCCATATTTTCCCATCTTTTCTGGGGAATCGACGATTAATTGTGTCTGTGTGTTTCTTTCCCTCCTGAAATTGGCCACACCACAGCTATGGAGGTGCTCAGAATATCTTGCCAGAGCTGCGGCAGGGCCTCCTCGCCCCCCGCGGCCCCGACGGCGTGGGCAACGACTGGCTCAGTCCAGGCTGTTCGGGGGCGCCCCGCTTTCGCGAAAGGTCTGTGCTGCTCGCTTGCACGAGAAAAGGGCGTAGGACAAACGCATCGGGTCGGAACATCTGGCGGTATCTGAGTGTCACCAGCGGCTGGCCAATTTCGAGCCCCCAGAAAAGTGTCGAAAGAGTGTCGACACAGGGTCGGGCGAGTGTCTCCCAGGGCCCGACGCGTCAAAACCCTCGAGTTTCGGTACTTGTTGTCCTGGCGCTCGAAATTCTTTCTGTTGATCAAGGCGTAAGTAGGTTGGAACATCATAAAACATGTCGTACCACCTTTAAACAATTCTTTGGACGCCCGAAATGGGTACCGAAAGAATGGGTACAATGCCCAACAACAAATGTTGTCCCAAACCATCAGCGGCCGCTGTTGGGCAGGCGGCCTTCTGTCTCGAATGGACACAGGCCGTGGCGGCGCGGACAGCGAGTCCTGTTCAAAATGAACAGGAACTGCTGTTGGGCATTGTACCCATTCTTTCAGTACCCATTTCGGGCGTGCAGAGATTTGTACCGGGGGCGCCCCCCCGTTCCAATTCCACTCATCGGAACTGCCGTCACCCAAGGAACACCAGTTACGGCAAACGGGGGAGGGCGCCAGAAAGAGAGGTGTGTGTGTGTGTGTGCATGTGTATGTGCACGCATACCCCCTGGAGGACGAAACCCTCCTCCCCCTCCTCCTCCTCCTCCTCCTCCTCCTCCTCCTCCTTTTCCTCCTCCTCCTCCTCCTCCTCCTCCCTGCTGTTGGGCATTGTACCCATTCTTTCAGTACCCATTTCGGGCGTCCAGAAATTCAAAATCGTGTCACCAGTGGCTGGCCATGACACCGGGAGCGCGCGCGCACCCATGTGCCACGGCGGCTCCACAACGCGCGCGCACGGCCCGACGTCGACGAGCAGCCGCTGACAGCGCCTGTGCGTGCCCTCGAAATTTTGGGGGCTTCAGCGCGCAAAACAAAAAAAAATGGTCGCCTGAGAGCAGACAGACCCGCGGGACCGCGAGGAGGCCGAGGAGGAGGAGCACGAGGAGAGGGCGGCGCCCGCGCGGCTCTGTCGCCACCAGCTCGCAGCACGCGGCGGCGGACGAGGACGAGGAGGGGCGGAGAACCGCCTCAGCCAATCCCGCAGCCGCCTGGGGTGCCGAGACGGGCCGCGGAGGGGCCCGAGGAACAGCGAGCCCCGTCCACGGCCGAGGAGCGGGAGGAGGACGCGGAGGAGGAGCAGCGTGCACGGCTGTCGCTCTCCTCGGCGCCCTCCTCGCCCTCGGCGGCCGGGCTGCTGGGCGGCGCCCCGGGCTCCCCGCCGCCGAGGCCGGCCTCGGCGGCCTCCTCGGCGCCCACTTCCTCAGCGCCGCCCCGGCCCGCCGCGACCTCGCCGGGCCATCTGGCTGCGCGGGGCCGCGCGGTCCTTCTGTGGGAAGCACAAAGACATACTAGTACTGTATGTCCTCCTTGGAGGCGCGCGTCCGACCCGAACATGTAGTATACCCATCTTGTAGTATATCGCTTCCCGAGCGGTGTGGCCAGAAAGCGCCCCCCACGACGCATATACTATAAGATTTCTCGGTGCGCGCGTCGCCTCCGGGGGGGCGAAGCACATATAGTATAAGTATGTTAGGGTGATGCCGATTCTGTGCAGCCACCGGCCGCCCAACGCCCGCCGCCAGCGCCGCCAGCGCCGCCTCCCCCGGCAGCCGCCTCTGCGGGGGCCGCAGCGCCGCGGCCGACGGTCGCCCCGGCACGCTGCGCCTGGGGTTCAGTCGGGCCTGTCCCCCTACAGGGGGATTTTCGACCGAAAAAAAACAAAAAATACACTAAAAAGGTAACACATACAAAAAACAAAAGAAAAAAACCCAGACTACTTTTAAACTATTTTTTGACTATTTTGGGGGGATTCTTGATTTTCGTCGAAAATCTCCATGTAGGGGGACAGGCCCGACTTAAGCCTGGGGCCGTGGCTGGCGAGGACCCCCGCGTCCGAGGGCCCCCGGGTCCTCGGGGACGCCGCGCAGAGATGAGGGTGTCTTGGGACACACAAATAAGCACACACAAATAACAGGATCCCCCATATTTTCGTATATTTTCTGAGTGTTTGTCTCCCCCCTACTTCCCATATTCTCTTATATTTCCCTGGGGATCCTCCTCCTCCTCCTCCTCCTCCTCCTCCTCCCGACGATTCACTGTGTCTGTGTGTTTTCCGCCCCCCCTGAAGAGAGAGGAGGACGTCGGACCTCCAGGCTCCCCGGAGGCCGCGCGGCCCAGGCTGCGGCGGCCCGCGCCGCGCGGGGGCGTCAGCTGCCGCCGCAGCCGCCGGGCGCTGCCTCCTAGGGAGCTCCTGGCGGGCTCCCCGGGGGGCTCCTGCTCCCAAGCGCTCCCCGGAGCTCCCAGGCGCTCCCCGGCGCTCCCAGGCGCTCCCAGGCGCTCCCAAGCGCTCCCAGGCGCTCCCAGGACTTCAACCCAGGCGCTCCCAAGCGCTTCCAGGCGCTCCGTGGGGAGCGGGGCGGGAGGGCTGCGGCCGCCATCGCACGGAGCCGCAGACAGCTTGAGCTAAAACGGCTACGGAGAGCTTCTGGAGCATCCCGGGAACGCTCTGGAGCCTCTCGGGGCCTCCTGGGGCCGCCATGGGACATGTGAAGAGCCCAGGACGCTGGACACTGTTGACATGTGCAGGATGTGGACATCTTGGGAGCCACAGGTGTCGGGGGCAACAGAACAAAACAGGCGCTTGTGGCAACAGCCATTGATGTTTGCCGGCGTTTTAGGATCATATTGGGCCGATCTGATGATTTCTTGGCATGTCTTTGAACGTCTTGTCTCCTCTTGTCGTATCTTGTCTTGTCCGACCCTCTGGGTCCGTCTGTGCGGCGTCTTGGGCAGTCGTGGCGTCCATCCCACGCCGGCTCTGTGGCCGCCCGTTGACTGGAGGTGTCTGCAGATCTTTTTAGGGCAATTCCCTCCCCTGGGATCCAGAGGCCTCCCAGCTGGGGTCCGAGTAGATGGGGTCGACGGATCGCGCCGCATCGCCAATGCATCGCCGATGCATCGGCGACGCATCGGCGATGCATAGCCGATGCATTGGCGATATATCGGCGACGTCGGCGTGGAGAAACACGGGCTCCACATCGAGCCGCATCGCCGATGCATCGGCGATGCGGCGCGATCCTCCGACGTCATCCACTCGGACCCCATCTAGGAGGCCTAGAGGATCGGGACCAGGGCTTCGCAAAGCGTTGTGGTGTCTACGATGGCCCAGGGTGGCTCCGAGACGGCCCCAATGAGCTCAAAATGGCCTATGGGCACAAGAACAAAGGATTGCAAAAAACCGTAGGATTGCAAAAAAAAACAGGATTTCAAAAAAACCCAGGTTTGCACGAAGGATTGCAAAACAACCGAAGGATTGCAACTCTTCCGAAGGTTTTTTTTTGCAAATCTTCCGAAGGTTGTTTTGCAATCCTTCGTTGCAATCCTTCGTTTTTTTGCAATCCTGTTTTTTTTGTGATCCTGTTTTTTTTTTGCAATCCTGGGTTTTTTGCAATCCTTCGTCCAAGGCGGCTCAAGATGGCCTCGGACATGCCTCCAAGAGGCCCCACGGCTCACCAAGCCAGCTCCTGGTCGCCTCGGGTCGTCCTGAGGATACCCCGAAGTGAGCGGCCGAGCTCATTGAAAGACATCGCATACTTTTTGACCATCTGTGCCGTCTGGCCTCATCGCAGCCAGTCGGCTCTTGAGGCAGAGAGCCGAGGAGAGCCTCAAGATGGGCCCGGGAAGACTCCAAAACACCGAATACCCCACGGATCGCCCACCTCGCCTCTCAAGAGAGCCCCCAGAGGCGTTCTTCTACAATCAAAACGTGTATTAAGGACGGATGGTAAGGACGCAATACCCTTGGAGGCCGAAGTTGGGATTTTGTGGGCTGCGGGCGACCAGTGAAAACGGCAAATGACGGGCCGCAGAGGCAAGGACACAAAGGGTACCCTAGATGAAGGCGCGCGTCCTTACTAGGCGCGTTGACTGTAGCTCAGACGGGGGGCCCTGGTGCAAACCGCCCCTTCGCTCAAAGCCAACATCATTGAAATGCGAAGCAGGTCGGTGAAGGATGTTGGCCTCTCCCGCCCATCATTGGGAGGCTGTTGGGCCAAAGTGGCTTCGGCATGCCTCCAGACGCATTAAGGTGGCCAGATGGCGCAATCTGATCCATGTTGGCGCAATGCTGCCCCCAGCAGGCTTCCGGGAGGCTCCAGGACGGCACAGAGACTGCCCCGAGTGGCCTCAGAGCCCCCAAAAGAGATCCCCGCGAGGACAAACTCATCCATTCGAACACCTGACGTTGGTTGCAAGTGCGCGTGTGTGCCTTCTCGCCTTTTCGCTCCCAATGAGCCTCTAAGGCCTCAAGGTGCCTTCAAGATCGCCCAGGAGGGGCCAAGGTGAGCTTCAAGGCAGCCCCAAGAGCGCCCCAATCATGCACCAAGAGGCGACGTTCCAGGCCCCAAGCTCCGACGAGGGGGTGCCGACTAAGACTGCCTCTGTTGTGATCGATGGCGTCTTGGATCGGCCAATGAAGGCCCCGAAGAGGCCCCAAGAGAGCCCCACGAAGGCCACACCGACCACATGAGCTTCGAGAGGGCTCCCAATATCGAAAGAACCGCCCAGGCATGCATGGCTGGCTGGCCCCGAGCGTCGGTTGGACGGCTGGCCCCTCTTTCTTGTCCCACTGCCTGCCCCCGCACTCCCATGACCAGGGGAAAACTCGCATGGGCACAGTTTGGGCTGGTGGGGGTACACGAACATCAAACATAGATCCATCACGCACCTCGTCACCCCCCCCAATTCCTTCTCCTCCTCCTCCTCCTCCTCCTCCTCCTCTTCCTCCTCCTCCTCTTTCTTCATCTCCTCTGCATCCTCGGCGTCCTCCTACGCCTACTCTCCATGCGGCTCCTCTGCCTCCTCCTCCTCCTCCTCCTCCTCCTCCTCCTCCTTCTGCCTCGTCGTGGTCAGCGTCGTCGGCTTCAGGGTCGGCGGCATCGGCCACAAGGCCTTCCCAATAGATCCATCACGCACCAGCCCCGACTACGCACGCAGGGAAGCCCGACCGCCCAACCCTGCAGCACAGCATGATGGAGCAACATGGAGTCGCGGCCTTCTTCTATCTCTGCTCCGACGCCTGCTCCTTGAACGGCCGTCCCTGCGAGTGACAATCAAATGGGCAACTCTAATGCATCGCTGCTGCCCGCTGCCTGGTTGAACTGCCGCGGTGTCTGGTCACAATCAGAGCATGCCGCAAAATCTCGCCTGCAACCGGAACGGAAAGACACCACAAAGCACAGAGCAGGACGTGCCGAATTCCCCTGCCTGCCTGAGAAGATTCGGGGTCGGGTCTGGTTGTGCGCACGGCGCTTCCCCCTGTGGGCAACACTAACGGAGGTTTTGTCCAACATTCCCGAGGTGGAGGGCTGCGGCCTGACCGTCGCGCCCCTGACCGTGCTACAAGACAAGCTGGCGTTGGCAGAATCAATGTAATAGTTTCGTGACTTCAATTGGGGAACAACGACATTGAGCACTTGCCGCGCGCGTGTTGTCTAGGCGCGTTTCAATTATTTTCTCCGCGGTTTTGAGGGTTGCGCGTTTACCTTGACTGTGGGATGCTTAGACGGCTTGCCTTGTCGAGAGAACTACTCAGACTACGCTGAAATTACGGCACTCTCCAAATGAACGTCCACTGATCCCTGCCATCGCACTACCTTGCAAGGTGAGATTATCCGCATATTGAGCAATCTATCTAGCATTGAGTACATTGGAATTAAGAAACTGGACTGTGGCTGAACGGCCCATGACCACTTTACAAAGGTACACGCACACACAGGACACTTAGGACAGACAGAGCACAACCATGACACCCGCTCCGAGCGCGACGACAGTGTCTGTCCGAACAGACGAGCTATCTCAACTATTTCAGGACGCGTTCGGAGATACAGAGCCCAAAGGGCAGACCAGCGGATGCTGACAGCAAGAGCGGAATCCCGACGAGGTATTCAAAACTGGTCGAAAGGAGAAAGGTTTCCACCCACGCGAATTCAATAGGTACATGTCTTGGCAACTTAAGATGCTTGCGTTCATCAAATCATTGACCTTCATATCGGAGAGAGCGTGATCCACCGCCGCTTTAGTGGAAAATTGCCGCCCCTTTTCCTCCGGAACCCTGGGGGTCCCCCCACCCCCTCCGAATATATCCCCCCCCCGCCCTGCTGGAACCCCTCCCTCCCCCCCCCCACCCTTCCCTGGCAAACCCCCACCCTCCCTAAAAACCCCCCCCCCCCCCTCGAGCTCGAAAACCGGGGGGGGTCACTACCGGTTCGACCCCCCCCCCCTCGAAAACGGGAGGGGGGGGTCACTACCGGTTCGAACCACTGAGCTGTCCCACTGTTCCCACCACTGTCCCCACTGTCCCTACCACTGTCCCCACTGTACCTCTTTCCCATTGTCCCACCGCCGTCCTCGCCACCGCCTTCACCACTGTCCCCACCACCACTGTACCCTCCACTGTCCTACTGTTTCCACCACATTCCCACTGTCCCCACACCACTGTCCCCACCACCACCGTCCCCACCACTGTCCCACAGTCCCCACTGTTCCCACCATTGTCTTCACCATTGTCCCCACCACTACCGTTCCCACCACTGTCCCACTGTCCCCACCACTGTCCCACACTCCCCTCACCACTGTCCCCACCACCACCGTCGCCACCACTGTCCGCCCCCCCCCTCGGTTTTCGAGGGGGAGGGGGGGTTCGAACCGGTAGTGACCCCCCCCGGTTTTCGAGCTCGAGGGGGGGGGGGGTTCGAACCGGTAGTGACCCCCCCCCCTTTCATGATGAACTGGGGGGGGAGGGGGGGAGGGGTTCGAACCGGTAGTGACCCCCCCCGGTTTTCCGGAGGGGGGGGGGGGGAGGGGTTCGAACCGGTAGTGACCCCCCCCGGTTTTCCGCTAGCAGCGGTAGAACACGCTCTTTCTCATATCGGAATCGAGGGCTTGCGCTCACGCAGATCCGTGTCGAGTCGCGCACGTGCTGGCTTGCTCTGGGCCGTAACCACTCGCGCTGAGATGAGCACCCTGAGTCTCGAACATGTTCTCATGGGGGCAAGACGAGGCGCCCGCCTTCCCACCCGCCCTTTTCCTCACCCCCCTCTTGCTCTATCTCTCTCATTGCTATATTATCTGTCCATCTCTCTCTCGAGCCTACCCCCCTCCTCCCTCCCATCCACCGCCTCCTCCTCCTCGTCCTCGCGAACAGGGTCGGCGGTACTGGCCGTACAGTCGGGGCGTTGACCTAAGGAACCCTAAATCAGGAACGAGGCCCCCTTTTCTCCATAAGTTCACCTTCGATTTCCGGTCGAAGACATGAGGAAAGCCTGAGGCAAGCTGTGAAACACTTGAGGAGCGCGGAGCCCCTCCCCAACGAAAAGGGTTCTCCAGATTTCGTAATAAAAGGGAGGGGGTCTGGACCCTCCAAGACAAGCCATTTCAGACCCCCCCCCGTGGGAGAATCCTCCAAAACATCGTCCCCAGACCCCCCCAGGCCCTCCAAGATAGCCTGGAAGAGACCCCCCCCGAAATGAGACC